CATATGGACAGGATGGGGAAGCCCTGCCTTACTTAATAGCTGTTCATGTGAAACAGACCCAGAGACTACAGTTGACCTCAAGCTCAATATGAATCATCTGTGCTGTGTGCCTGCCAAGGAGACTAATAGAATGTTGGGCCATGTTAAGAGAAGTCTAATATTAAGACCAGGGGAGGAGGCTCCCAGGCTCTGATCAGACCACAGTGGGAACATCGAGTCAAGTTCTCTAAGTCAGTTTTTCAGTGAAACACGGACAAACTCATTTCTTCATAAAACATTTATTGAATGCCTACTACATGCCCAACATTGTGCTAGTTGCAGAGGATGCACAGATAAATGAGACAAGTTCCTGGCACGCATGGGAGTCAAGTCGCAGCCTAGGGATATCAATAGTGTTCAGATTTCACATAACATTTAATAATTTAGAAAGCAAAACTTAGAAAGCTAAAATATATTCTGTCAGCTGTGCTTAGGGACTTTAAATGTTCTCAGAAAACACATGAACATCACACACACACTCAAACACACACACTGTGTGTCTTCATTGATACTGTGGTGGTCTTTATTTGAGGTGGAAATTTAATACAGATTTCCTCTCCTCCACCTGCCCTTGAAATTAAAAGATGCTTGCTCCTTGGAAGAAAGGCTATGACAAACCTAAACAGCAATATTATAAGGCAGAGACATCACCTTGCTGACAAAAGTTGATATAGTCAAAGCTATGGTTTTTCCAGCAGTCATGTATGGATGTGAGAGTTGGACCATAAAGGAAGCTGAGTGGCAAAGAATTAATGTTTTTGAACTGTGGTGTTGGAAAAGACTCTTGAGAGTCCCTTGGACAGCTAGAGATCCAACCAGTCCATCCTAAAGGAAATGAGTCCTGAATATTCATTGCAAGGACTGATGCTGAAGCTGAAATTCCAATACTTTGGCCACCTGATGCAAAGAAGTGACTGGTTGGAAAAGACCCTGATGTTGGGAAAGATTGAAGGTGGGAGGAGAAGGGGATGACAGAGGATGAGATGGTTGGATGGCATGACCAACTCAATGGACATGAGTTTGAGTAAACTCCACAAGTTGATGATGGACAGGGAGGCCTGGTGTGCTGCAGTCCATGGGGTCACAAAGAGTCAGACACAACTGAGCAACTGAACTGAACTGGTCACCACATCACAGGAGTGACTGGGGAGCTGACCACTGCTTTCACCGCTTAGGGACACAGGCTGGTAAAGCAACTAGAATGTGGAGAACATGGGTCACTGTGACAAGAGAAACAAAGAGTACAGAAAATTACACCGCAGCACTTAAAGCTTCCACTAGGAGATGACACATAAGCCACAGAGTCTCGTGATCACTTAACTCTGGGGGCAGAGAATGCTCATCTTACCATGTGACGGGGCGAGAAGTGGAGCCATTTGGTGAAACCCGAATGACCAGCACACTAGTCATCAGCTTCCAGAATACTGCAGGGCAGCTGTGGAGTGGCCGGGGCACTTCCTCGGTCCCAATCACTCAGCAGCCTCCAGCTTCCTAGCCACCCTGGTCTTGGCAGACTATGAGCCCCCTGGCCACATCCAGGAAGGATTTCTCAGAAAGTCAGCCTTTATCCTGCTCCCCTGATTACCTGCATTCCATCCCTTCCGCTTAATGTCGCTTTGGTATCATCTATTTCCTACTGATCCCTGATGGACACGAGCTGCCTGTGTGCTCTGCCCTGGCCTCCAAGACCGCCACCCTCAGCACCACCCTCCTTTAACCCTGAGCACAGTCCTTCGAGGTTGCTGGGGAGGCCTCCTCAGCTCCTTGTTTACTGAGAGAAAAAGCAAGACCCACGGAATCTGAATAACTCATCCAGGGTCGTAGAATTAGACAGTGGCAGAGCTGGGTCACAAACCCAGCTTCTTGCAGTTTTGCTCACTCCGCTGAACCACGTCTAAACCACATTGTGCAGAGAAGCACAGCACGAAGAGAGGATCCTAGAGGACTGGACACAAGGTCTCACAAGGAAGACTCAAGACAGTTTAGGGAGTGTGGGAGCCAAAAGAGTTGACTTAAAATACCATTAATGCACTTATGTGAAGTCTAGAAAAATGGTGCAGATGAACCCATTTCCAAGGCAGGAACAGAAACCCAGATGTAGAGAACAAAAGTGTGGGCACAGCGGGGGAAGAGGAGGGAGCAACAGACCGGGAGATTGGGATTGACATATATATACTACCATGTGTAAAACAGACAGCTCGTGGGACTGCATTTTCCAAAAAATGGTCACAGCAATAATTGTGGTCCCACATGCTCCTCCCTGAAAACAGAGGGACTCAGCAGACTGAAATAAGAGTCAAGGAGAACGCAGCAGGCCATGGTCACCATGATCCTGGCAGGGGCAGCCTTCCAAAGAGACTTTGGAAAGGAAGGCGGGGTGGTTACTAGAGCTTCTGGCAAAAGAAAGCATCATGTGCTGAGATGAGAAACTTTAGAGGAAGAGTGATTTGGGAAGGAGTTGATGAGTTTATTAATGGATTTATTGACTTTGAGGTGTTACAATGATTTCAGCTACAAGGAACAGAACACCTAACCAGAAGTGATTTAGAATAAAGATGTGTGTTTACTCATGTAGCAATAAGCCCAGAGATCCCAGGATTAGTTCATTTGTCCAATCAAATAATTAATGATGCAACAGAGTTTGCACATCAAAGTTGTTCCCTCACGATCACAAAGGCTGCTGAAAGTCTAGACACTACCTCTGGATGCAAACTTCTGGCCAGAGAAGAGCAGAGTTTCCATTCATGAGCCTGTTTTAGTAGAGAGGAGAATTTTTCCTATGTCCTTTGATCAGGATGAAGTCGTATGTCCATATCTTAGCTGCAAGGGAGGCTGGAGAACAACCAGGTGACTTTTACAGCCCCTCTGTGGGAGGTGGACTTCGAGTCTGATCTAGTGAAATTCAGGAAGCAGAAAAATGGAAGCTCTGAGTCTGGAGGTTCTTGGGAGAACAGTTCAACCCCAGACACATGAGGAGACCTGGAGCCCAGATGCAAAGAGCTGTGCTTCCCCAGGGAGTTGGGGCACCAGAGAAATAGCTACAGTACTTGGTCAAGGGAGAAAGCTGAGACTGAACCAGGGAGACAGGTGTGAGAGAGAGTTCCCCTCTTGCTAAGGACAAACTGACTTGAGGCAGGGGGCGGATTTCTCATTCCCCTGAGGCCTCTCTGTGGCTAGCCAATGCCCATGGTGGGGAAACCTGCTGGCCAGGCCGTGGCAGGGAAGGGATTAGAGGACATGGAGAAGGAAAGAACTTTCACCTCATGCTGTGGAAGCGATCCCAGTGGGTGGTTGCCTGGAGAAGCAGCCTCTGAGGAAGTAGGACTTTGAAATGGACTTGGGCAAGATGAGTTCATATCATGGGTTCTTCTAGGCTCACCTGAGGCTGAGCCCTAAGCTCAAACCAGCTGAAGGAGCCCAGTCTGGTTGGAGCCTATTGCAGAACCCAGGGACCCTGTAGAACATTCATGCTGAGAGCACTGCCCGGGGGCTCGGGAACTGGGTAGGATCCAGCACTGATGACTGAAGCCCAGCTTGGATCATGGTGTCTGTGCGGAGGCAGTGGTGCTCACCAGCATTCCACTCGCCCCACAACTGTCCTCACCCCCTTAAAGGGAAGAAGGACCCTGGGTCTAGTTCTAACAATGAACTATCTCACCCCCCACCTTGGGAAGCTGATGATGAGATGACAGAGCCCCAGCTCAAAGCAGCCTGCAACAAGAGTGGATGACAGCTACTCTGAAGAGTCCAGCTGCAGTTTGAGTGACAGAATAATAAAACTGCTTATAGCAAAAATTTTGAGCTGTTTGTCACTGCAGCATAACATCACATATTTTTACCAGTACACAGTACGTGCTTGATACACATCCATTTAAATTATAGCTACTGACTGGTTATTTGACCCTGGGCCAGTCCTTTTCTCTCTAGGCCTCAGTGTCTCCATCTAAAAACTGGGAGTGTTTACACTTGCTTTATTTATAGGATTGTTGCAAGGACTGAATGTGGCAGTACTTGGCTTGGTATGAGACACAGACAAATCTTGTTCATGTCACTTCCATTTCATGAATAAGACATAAAGAGGTAGGCAGTAAAGAGCCTGACCTGGAGGGTGTCCAGTTTCATTCGTGGCACAAAGTGAGCTGGGTTCTGTGACATCCTTGAGGGTGGGAAATGACATTCCCTAAGGACTGGCTGAATGTATGGCTGGAGTGTCCCAGTTTTTTGGCTGGTGGGTCTTAAAAGTGGAAAGGAGATAAGGTCTGCCCTTCCCGATTTGTCAGGGCTTCCCAAGCCTGCCTCATCTCAAAAATAGGTGTAACTCAAAGAGTCTTCCTAAATGGTGCCCACTTTGCTCCTTTGCCCTGCCATCCTCCAAGTTTGCTCCAGGAGGGAAGTCAGTGGTTCATGACTGTCCCAGCTGCTCATGTCATTCTGGACATCCATCTCAAGAGGTGGGGGAGAGTTTCAGGAGAACTCTGCCAGCTCTGGGTCCTCTTCCTTGCTTGGGCTCCAGAAATCTTGGTTCTGAGGTTGCTGCTTTCTCCATGTGTCTGGCTGTGGGCATGGAGACTTAGGAGCAGCAAATGATAGCTTGATCAGTCCCCGGGGGGAGACAGGGGCTGAGGAGGTGGGCTGTGAGCTGGGTGGGGGAAAGGGGTCCCAAGGCTGGGCTGAGGAGGGAGAGGCTGTCGCAGAGGGCCAAGGTCAAGCCCATAGCCCACCTCCAGGTGCCCAGTGGCATCTGAGTGATTCTGGAAACAAGACTCTGGGGCTCAAGTTCTTGACTGTGTAGCCCTGGACAAATCACTTATGACTCCTGTGTTTCCATCTCTGGAAAATGAAGCACATGCCTGTCTCACAGACCACACGGTAACGGACTGTGCGGTGCTGTGCTTTCAGCAGTAGGTAAAGCCTGCTGTCTGGGGGTGCAGCCCACTGCTTCCAGGCAGCCGGAACAGGGGATGAGGACTGGGGAGCGGCTGACGATGACCCTGCTGAGGACGGAGGGGCTGGATTCCAAGGCAGCAGGGAAGCAGCGGGCAGGAGACGGGCCTGCTGGCTGCGTTGGCACCAGGCATCCGTTCCTCACGTCTCACTTGGCCTTGGAGAGCAGCGGAGCTGGCCTCCCTCCCCAGCAGTTCCTCGTGCTCCAGATAAATTGTTTCCGCCTGAGCTGCCTCCTCCTCCCCCAGCCCTCTTCCTGTTGCAACACCTCGCCAGCCGGGCAATAAACACCGGCCCTATCTCTCTCCACCAGTCCCTGGCTTCCTGCCGGCACAGGCTAACCCTCCTCCAGCCCAGCCCGGCCAGATGCGCCAGTGGCTTTCCCAGCTGCTCCCTTGAGCCCTGAGTCAAAGCTGTCTGTGTCTAGGGATTGCCCTTGGCCCTCCCCACCTCTCTTTCTCCTCCCCCACCCTATGAGGACGGGACCTGAGAGGGTCCCAGGCTGCCTTTTCACTGCTGTTTTCTCTCACCTCCAGCTCCTTAGCAGCCTCTACAGACTCCAGCACTAATGCCCACCATGTCTTCATCGTGCCCCCAGCACCTGCTTCGCAGATTCTCCAGGTTGGTTTCCCCCCAACCCCCCTAAAGGTACCCAGGCCCTCTAAGTGTTCCGGAATCCTCCTGACTGGGATAAGACAAGTCCACCCAGACGAGGTGCTCCAGACCCATCTCCTCCTCCCTCCCAAGAGACACGTTCCTTCCAGGGTCTCCATGTGGCCTCATCTTCCCAAGGGAGGGTTATCTCCATTTGTCCTACCCTGGCCCTGGCCCTGAACCCCATCCACAGCGATTCTTCCAGGGCGAAGGGGGCTTCTCTTCTTTCCTGGTCTCCAGAGATGCTGGGGGGCAGTCCTACTGTTGTCTAGGAAAGGAACAGGGCCCTTTACGGGCCTGAACAGGATTCTGGAGATTGTGGCCCAACCTTCCAGGCCTCCGTGTCCTGACCTGATCACCAGGACACAGCTCCATGGCTGCCCCACTTCCCTGACAGACGGCAAAGATGCCCATATCTGTCTGTTCTGATGACCCAACAGGACATTGGTGGATAGTCCCAGACCTCTCTCTGTCACACACACACACGCGCGCACACGTGTGTGCACACACACACACCTCAGAAAGCCAGGAGGAAAGGTAGGGGAGCAGCACACCTAACCAACTCCTCTAGTAGCACATGTTTGATGTAACTGTGGTTAAGAGCATGATGAAAAGATCACCTAGAGAAACTGTGAGAAGATGCTTCTGCTGGAATTCAGGGGAAGCTTGAGTGCCGGCTAAGGAGGAGACCTCCTCCCAGAAGTCAGGGCCACCTGTGCTCCTGCCCCTGAGTGTGGAAGCGTGCTGAGTTTCTCTCCACCCAGTCTCTCTGGAGCTCATACTTGCCTAGCCGCAGGTCCTCTGTCACCTCCCCATCCCTTCTCTATAGCTCTGGAGATCTTTCCACACCCCATGGCTTCCTCATTCCCCACAAGTCCTGGTACCTGGACTGATGGCACAGGCTGGGTAAGTTGATTTGAGAAAAGGATGACTAGAGAAAGGGATGTAGAAATCATTCTCTCCACCTCTCTTTTTGTACAGGGATGTAATTGAGGCCCAGAGGTAGTAGCTGGCAGTTACAGTATAAGGATCTACTGAATATTTGCTGTGGGCTGAGCATTTTACATCTATTTAATCCATGGAGTCACAAAGAGTCAGACACTATTGAATGGCTGAACTGAATCCACACAACAATCCCCTGAGAAAAGTACTGTCATTCTTCCCATTCTACAAACCTGAAAACAGAGTCTGGGTAAGGTTAAATGCCTTGCCCCAGGATACCCAATTATAACAGAGATTCTGCCCCAAGCTAGTTCAATGCCTTAAACCCAAGCTGTGCTGCCTCTAGTGTAGAAAAGGGCTTTGGGAAGCAATTGGTCCAAAGTTACACAACAAATTTGGGGAGCAGCTGGGCCCCCCACCCAGGATGGGCCATAATTTGCCGCCCATCCTTAGGAGTCAGGTCCTTAGTGGGCAATTGCTGATGATGAGGACAGTGGCCTGAAGGATTCCTGCTGGCCCTCTCAGATCCCAGCTCAGCTGAGCTCTGGGGGAATGTCAGAGCTGGGAGCCGTGGGAGCTGAACTCCTCACAGAGACCTGGTCAGGGTCACAGGTGAGCTGGAGGCAGAACCTAACACCCTAACCAGCTCCTCCCAACTCTGGTTCCAACCCTGCCAGAGTGGGCCAGGCCTTCCCAGGGTGACATCAGCTCCAAGAGTATTTTGGCGGTCAAGTCTCAATGGCAAGTCCCAACAAGTTCTCTTTGAGGGGTTAAGATTAGCACAGCAACCTCAGCTATGACTCATGGAGGTGACTGGGGTCAGGTCAGCCTGGCTCCCATTACCACTCTCCTCTGATTCACCAGTGGAAAAAAATGGTCCAAGATGTTTTCCTGGCTACCAGCTTCTTCTCTCTGCTTCCTAACCAACTGGGCAATGCAGAGCAGGGGCGGAGCCCTCCATTTCTCAGGCTTAGAGCCTGGGCTACCAACAGTGACTGGGGATTCCCTTCTTTGGGGTCCACTCTGATGTACCCCAAACCTTCTCTCATTTTATTAATATCCATCCTCCCCATCTAAATGGCTTAAACCCAGCTTTCTGTTTCATAGGGAAACCCCAGTTCAGGTGGTGGCCTGGTGCAGCCAGCTCTGCCCATGCCTTGCCATGGCTGCTCAGATTTCACTGAACATTTGGAGTTATGATGGCCTCAATGCAAGAATAAGAGATGCACCATTTGTATGTTTCATGTCACTTTCACAGTCTTAAATCCACTAAGGGCTCAGTGTCCCATGAACTATCTATGTATGTGGAGAGAGAGCTTGGGAAGTACAGGTCTGGATATTTCATAGGGATCCAGGGCCCTGCCTTCAGAAATCTCAGACCAGGGCTGGCAGAACTCAACTTCCCCATCTGTAAGATGGGCATTTGTACTTGACAGCCTGTTAGTGTCTCAGCCTCAGGCTGTCTTTCCCAGTTCAGCTACTCAAGTGCACTTGCCCTTTCAGACATAGCCTTAGCTTATCTGAGAGTCCCTTGGACTGCAAGGAGATCAAATCAGTCAATCCTAAAGAAAATTAGTCCTGAATATTCAATGGAAGAACTGAGGCCGAAACTGAAGCTCCAATACTTTGGCCACCTGATGTGAAGAACGGACTCATTGGAAAAGACCCTGATCCTGGGAAAGACTGAATAGCAGGAGGAGAAGGAGACAACAGAAGATGAGATGGTTGAATGGTATTACTGACTCAATGGACGTGAGTTTGAGGAAATTCTGGGAGTTGGTAATGGCTAGGGAAGCCTGGCATGCTGCAGTCCATGGGGCCACAATGAGTCAGACACGGCTGAGCAGCTGAACTGAACTGAAGCTTCCTTCCCAGTCTGCATCCTGGAGGCAGTTGTAGAGGGGGGCAAAGGCCATCCAGCATCCCTGGTCAGCGCTGCAGAGAGGGCAGGAAAGAAGAAGCAGGGGGAAGGGAGAGGCTGATTTCTTGTGAAACCGTGGGGTTTCTGCCAACAGCCATCAGAGATGGTCCCTGGCCCCAGCCCAGCTGCCCTCAGGCTTTTGTTCTGGTTGGCGCTGTCCCCAAAGACTTCAGAGTCCCTGGCATAGGGATGTGGTGGTAGCCACAACACTCCCTCTTCCTTCTCTCCTCGTCTTCCCTGAGAATGCACAGAGGCATGGGCCCTGAGGAGCTGTGAACCATGAATGGAATAGCCTGCAGGGCCTGGGGCTTGGAACACATGAGTTTATGGGCACCCCTGGAACCACCATGGAAAAGGACTGACCCAGTTTCTCCCCAGGACTGGGTGAAGTCAACAAGGGCCACTGGGGAGCAGGCCTTCGGAAAGCTCTCCTCCAGGGAGGCAGGGAGCAAGGGGGCCCTGGGGGTAGGCCCGGGAAGGGAGGATGGGTACTGCTTCCACCCCTTGACTCACGCTGGGCAAAGCTGGCAGAGGCCAGGGAGGGCCGAGAGCCATCTCTGCAGCCGCAGCATCCCTGGGACAGCCTGCCCTCCCTGGAGCCCAAAGGCTAACTGGACAAAGCAACCAGTCCAGGAGAAAACAGCAGGGCAGGATAATGCTCCAGCCCTTAGTGGATACAGCTGGTGGCAGTTGCACGAATCCACAAAGGGTGTGAACAGTCAGTCAGGGCTCATCACACAGAGAGTGGCTGGTAGCCATTGCTTGGGCTTGAGCTGGGAGGTGACAAGAAGCCACGGGTGGGAGTGGGGTGGGCCAAAGAGGGCTTTAGGTAGTGTCAGGGACAAGAGGGAGAGCTATGTAGAAGGAAGGGTGATCAGGAACCATGGATCCAGAGTGAAGAGTGAGCGGCTACGGATGTCAAGACAAATCTACTCCTCTGGGCTCTCCTCACCCATAGACAGGTGGTCTCTGCAGCCCCCAGTCACAGGATGCTGGGGAAAATCGGTCCTCAGGATGGGTGGCAGGGTCCGGCTTTGGTGGGTGGCTGCACCCTACAAAAACGAGGCTGAGCCGGGGTGCAAGTCAGGCTGTGTGCTGGGGAAGCGAGGCCACACACGGGGTGGGCTTGAGCCAGGGCAAGAGGTTACCTTGCTGGCTCACCCCAGGCCTCAGAGCAGGTCTGGCTGTGCTGCCCAAGGCCACCCCTTGTGTGGGGAGCACAGCTGGCCTGCCTGGAAGAGTCCAGCACAGTCTGCATTCTTCTCACTTCATTCCTGTTGCCCCCAGGGACCGGCAGGGCCAGCCCAGGTCATTCCAGCTGACAGCCCTCACAGAAGGATGCCCCCCACCTCACCCCTACACAGCCCTATCTTGTTCACACCACTGTTCCAGATCTGAACATGGCAGGATGCAGGCGAAGGATTTGAGGGGGGCCTCATAGCACTACCCAGGAGGAAATCCACTGCTCAGAACCGTCCCCCGAGTCACAGACCCTCTCTCCTCCAGTGAGGAGGGATAGCAGGTAAGGACTGGGATTATGTGTGGTGGGGAGGTTGTCTCTACAAAAGAATGCATCCTTATCCCTGCTTTTGATAAGCTGGTCCCAGGATGGGCACATGAGTGCTGGACCCAAGAAGCTCACTTGAAGTGGCAGAGGTCTCTCTGACATCTGAAGGAAACCTCTGGGGCACCATTGTCACATCCCAGGCTCAATCTCCATACACGCTTCATGGTAGGAGCTCCCTATGGCTTTGCAGACATGACCAACTC